AGGCAAAAAAAATTTAGTATTATTAAGGGCATTTTAAGCAGATTTTCTTCATAAAAAAACTTTCATACCTTATGCATTTCTTCAGTATCCATAGCAGTCACATCCTCAAGAAAAACAATATCATAATTCTTATCGAATGTACCTATAAAATACATTATTAGCATTATTTTCATTTTTTTAAAATTTACTTTTGTACTCACTTCTGGCAGTTGTCTCACAGCATAAATTAGTTTTAACACCAGAAATGATGAGTGTTTTTATACCCAGGGAAGTAAGAAAGGAATTAAGTTCGGTTTTGTAGAAAGCATCATAGCGAGTTTTACTTTGGATAGTAAAGTCAGATTGCTAAATTGCAAAGAAATTAATGTTCATGATATAAATAGATTTTCAAGTGAATTTAAACATTAAAACTTACTTCAACAAGTGAATCTAGTTCTTGCAAAAGTTTCCACTTTTCAGATCCTAGTATTATCATTTCATCTCTGTCTTTCCACTTAAAAAATAATTGTTTTACTTTTTATTTTTATTTTCTGTGGTATTTATAAATAATAGTTAAATACCCATCGTGCCAAAGCATCTCCATCGAATTCAACATTCATGTGACTATGCTGTGTTCATAAAACTGGAATGTCTTTCCTATGACAGTCAATGATGATAGATTTTATATTTGGAATAATTTTTTTGACTGCATCACTGCGAAAAAATTCTTACTAAAAATTATTTGAAGAAGTTGCAAGAATTAAATACATCTTTCATAACTTACTTGCATATCAATAACTAACAAGGCAGCTTTTTCTGGATTATAAGTAATAGAAGTTGATATAGTGAATAGATGACTTTATATCATTTATAGCATTGTATACAGAGAAATTTGGAAAAAAGTTAAGTCAAAATTCAGAATAAAATGCCAATATCTCAATTTGTTATGACCTTTCAGATCTTAAATAAAATGTTAAATTGAATTTTTCACATATATATATTATGTTTTGGTATACAGTATGATGATAAAAAATTGAAATATTGTTGGCACAAGAAGATTTAGATAGCTGTGCGTTATATTAAAACTGTTTTTGTATAGGATTTGATAAATATTCCGTGACACCAAATCATAATAAGAAAAAGCCCCCTAACACATACACACTAACGCTAATATATAAATATTGTAACCAAGAATATTAAACTTAATTAGTTACAGTACCAGGTACTTAGTATTACGATCAATGTTGTAAAAACAAAGACTTGTCATTATCTAGAAACAAAGACTTGTCATTATCTAGTTTGTCATAGCGATTTCAAATTAGTGTAACCAGGAATGGTAAAAAACACTTTTCACTACTTTAAACATACTTTGAAATAGTGAAAATGCCCATTAATGCTAGCATTCGAGATGAAAATGGAAATGATGCTTATCTACTAATATATACTTTGTGCCAGGGTAAGTTTTTTATAAAGTATACTAAACAAAAGACATTTCTAAAATCCCAATACTAAATTATTGCCACATAGGCAAAACCACGTATTTAAGATTTACAATAAAATAGAAAAATATGCTACTTCCAGCGCACCTAATAGAAAAGCTCAAAAGACCTATTTCCTCGATCTAGTAACAGAAAACAATGAACTCAATAAATGTGAAAAGAATTATTGCCAAGAAATATTCATTCGTAATTTTGAATTGCATAATGTAGTTCATAAATTCGGTGAGCCTATGGCATGTAAAAATTGTAAATCTATAAGATATTCTGTCAGATATTGTGAGGTCTGTATTAAGCAACAATTACAGAGATTCTTTGGAACTTGGACATCTGGGAATGCAATTGTTGATGAATTTATTCAAAAATGTCAATCAATCTCATCAGTTCTGCCATATATTATAGAGTGAATCCCCTTTGAGCAATTTAAAGATGTCAAATATTTAACGAAGGGTGGCTTTAGCATTGTTTATACTGCAACATGGACAAGAGAAAGCATTTATGATTGGGACAAAAGCAAAAAAATGTTCATTTACTTTGAATATTTTGGACCTCAAAAAGTAGTATTAAAATTTTTAAATAATTCAAATAATCCTGAAAAAGATTTTTTTGATAAGGTTTGTAATAAATTTTGATTAGCTATGAATTATATGGAATATCAATTTAAAGCTGACAATTTATAATTCTAGGCAATCAATTATTTTAAAATTCAATCCAATTCTATTGTCTATTGTCATGGGATAACTAGATTTCCAGAGAATGGAAATTACATGATAGTTATGAATAGATATCTAGAAGGAAGTTTAAGAAATTATTTAAAAATTAATCACTTAACTTTAAATTTAAAGAATAGGATTTCAATTTTTAGATACTTATGCAAGTCATTACGTGACATATATAAAAAAAATTTAGTTCATTGCGGAAATATATTAATGGAGTCAAGTAACTGTTTTATCACAGATTTAGGATTCTGTGGACCAGTTGATGAAAAATTATCAAGTGAGGTATATGGGATAATACCATATATTGCACCAGAAGTATTTGAGAGAAGAAAACATACTAAAGAATCAGATATCTATAGTGTTGGGATGTTGCTGTGGGAAATATTTTTAGGCTGTCTGCCATTCGACAATAAACCACATGACACGCAGTTAATACTTGAAATATGTAATAGATTGAGACTACTGCTTTCACAAAATATCTCTACAAGCTTTGCGAAAATAATGCAGGAATGCTGGAGTACTGATTCACGTAAAAGGCCAACTATTGAAGAACTTTTCGAATTTGCTAATGATAAATTTGTAAATGTTTATAAAGACAGCAAATTTGATAATACCATTTCGCTAGATTCTGATATAGAAAAAATAAAAAAGATCATATTTGTTTGCATATTCATCAAGTAGAATATTAAGCGGAGATATTCCTGAATCAATTAGAAATTCAAACTATGTGACTTCACAATATGATCTTATATTACCTGATGAAATATCTTAGCCACCTATTTAGTATCATTATTATGGTAGTCAATTCCGATTCATAGAAGTAGTATTTATATTATTAATCATAATTATAGTATAAAATTGTAACCATTATTACTTTACAACAATAATTGAATATATAACAATAAAAAAAAACAAATTTTTTATTAAAAATTGTATTAGATTTTAATTGCTAAGGATTTGTATTAACAGATTCTTTGTAAACCATCAATAATAAACTCTAATTTTTTTAAAAACAAAATATAAAAAAAATTACAAATATTCTACTCCTCTACCCCTAAGGGTAACCAGATATACTATACCACTTCAATCCAAATTTTGTAATATTTTTCAGTAGTGGCTTTGATTTCTGTCACATTTCTTTTTAAAAATTCAATAAATACAATTTTTCATTGTTATTATAAATCTTTTTTTATTTGCATAATTATAAAAAAATTCTTCTTTTAGGGTATCAATGATATCCTTCTCATCTAAGATTAATATATTTGGGAAACTCTTGGCATATTCTTCAAATACTTCTAATTTTAATTATTTATAATGAATAAATCACCATGATCTTTTTGCTCATCAAAAGTGAATCTAGGCAGTCTTAGGCGTAGATATTCTGTGTATTTCATTTTGTGATATAAAATGAGTTTCAAAGAATTGACATAGTTTTTTATAATTTTTAATATTAAAAATTTTTGTTAGCCAGATAATAAGATAACAGATGTATCCATTAAAAGAGGCTTTAATAATAGAATGTTTGAGAGGTTCAGATTTCAAAATATGAACATTAAAATATTTTGTTAATAAGCTGATTACTAATGAACTGTATTTCTCTTTTCTTTTTGACATTATAATTTTAATCACTTTGATAATTATATTCAGAGACAAAGAAATCCTTCAATATGCCTTAGCGTTTTTTAATTAATATATGCAAGAAAATGAAGCCAGACATAAATTTATACATGTTACAAATTATAGAAAATTATAAATAAAATTAATTATTCGAGATTTAAACTATTTATTAATGTTAATAAACAGTTTGAAGAACATTTCAAATTTGTTAATTATGAAT